TGGAAACACAAGTATGCATTTGAGTGCGGCGCCGATAATCTACACAATGTATCTAACAAATGGGTTATAAGCCCTTCATCTAACCGAAGTTGATAAGTGCCTCACCATCTGGCATGTTTAGCCTCTGCAGGTCGTCTAGTTATATAAACAGGAATGGGCGCAAACGGAATTATTCGCTTCGCGAAGCAAACAAGTGGCCTACGTTTGCCAGAGGTCACGAACAAACAACACCCTATTAGGCAGAATTCGGCCAAGTTAGCATGTCAGGCTAGGTGGACTAGTTCGAATAAATTAAGTTGACCTTAGGAGCTCCTATTTCCTTTCCTTGTGTTTTCATGGTTGAATACACACTGCTCCAGAAAGCTACATGTATCGTAGAGTGTGCAATCACGCTGAATATAAAATAGGTGATACTTATAAATTCTAGTGATCAGAAAAGTACCAGTAGAATAAATCAGAATACTGTCTACATTACAGTTATTTAGGTTCAATTATTATCCAGCAGGTTAGTTTATTTATGACATGAATTAAAACATGTGTTGAGGTAGGTCTGGAGCATAGAAAACAGGTATTTGTCAACTAAAATTTGGCCATAATAAATACAAAGTCCGGATAAGTGTTATTCGCCCGCACACTACAATGTTGAAAATGGTAGATGGTGTTTGTGTTGTTCGTGAACCCGCTCAGCGTTCAGTGCCTCCTTGATAGCTGCCCTCAACGAGACACGTAAAAAGGAAATATTCCTTTTCTAAGGATGCATTTTGCTAGCTAAACCATCGAAATGTTTGCGTATTCTGTCCAATAGTTACCCAAACGTGTAAAATCTATAATAGGTTTCACATGAACCATTTAATAATTAAATTCACCCGCAGTTTGTATGAGCGGGCACCTTATCTACGCCTTATACTGATATATTACGCATCTTGCCCCACGTATTGTAATTGGAAGTTGATATACATCTTTTTACTCATCTGATGATAATTGATCGAATGCAAACATTAACGTGGCTATCAAAATGAGCGAACATACGAGTCTCAGGAAGCAATTGAGACGAAGATCAGATGGGTGGGACAACAACTTTATTCGCCCGACGTTTCGACACCTGTTACAGATTCTTCATCAGAGATATGAATAAAAGCATTAGCAGAAATGGGGGACACATGCACATGGGGCTTCAGTATTCATAGAAGATGGAGTTGCGCACAGGCCGGAGGCATCGACAAGGCGTCAGATAATTAAACCAAAAGACCCTATGCCATGGCAAGAAACATCTGGAGTCATCGATGGGATCTAGTGCAATTGCGGACAATCCAATACGTCGGAGAATCTGGCAAATTTCTCAAGACACGAATTGCCGAACGGGTGGCAGCAGTGCGGCGAAATGATGTCAGTTCTCAAGTTGCGGCTCATTCGGTGCGACCGCAGTTCTAGCAAGCATTGAAAATCGTGTGAGCCGAACAGTAATTGAGTCACGGTTCAGAGGCCCAACCACTGCAACCACCTGCCGAATCGCAACTTGTGAAGACAAAGCCCACCGCGTCGTCCTACGCCAACAGAATGTAAACAGCTAGCAGAGAAATCATCACATTCCACGCTTGATGAAAATTCAGCAAGTTAGGGCCTGCATGATGAATATCAGGCTATCCACACACAAGACGGCAACCGTCGTTAATTTTCGTTGTTTTTCTTACGTGTGCAGTAGTGGCCGTGTCCTCAGGATATTGTAACTTTCTCTGCATGCGTTTCTCTTTTCTGCTACTGCTTTTTGCTCATGGCTTCAATGAAGAATCCGCGACGGATGTCGAAACGTCAGACGTCCCAGCTATCGAATCTTTATCTTACTAAATGTGGTTTTTGTTATAAAAGGTGTACAGTTTTGGGGGAGAATGCATGCGATACGTCAGGGTATTTGAAACAATGGAGTATATTTGTCGTTTAATCTTCAACAGTAAGGGTTGTTTTGCGCACAAGCCACAGGGCTTTTTAAATTGGTTTTTGCGCTTTATTTCCTGAGATTGATAATTATACAGTTGTGCGACGG